ATTCAATTCATTACACAATCCACCACATACAAAGCTTCTCATCATCTCTGGTTGAACGTTCTCTAAAACCACAACAATTATAAAAATCTCTCACAGCCCTATACCGCAAGTAGAAGATGTTATCTTTCACTTTCTTTTCTAATGTTCTAAAGAAGGAGCTTCATTAAATGTTGGAAGTGTTCTCTATCATAAAATTATGTCATTCGGGTAATTAAACAAGTGGCTAGTGTTTCCATCTATCTTTCAAGATAAACATTAAAATTGTTGGTGTTGATAATAAGCACCTCCGGCGTAAGAAAGGTTAAGAATATGCCAACAAGAAGTTGGAGAAGGTAGAAAAAACCGACGGTCGTACCCAATATTTAGAGGTAGGGAAAAATAATGACATGGATTTAGAGAAGAACCTAAAGTAAAGGAACACATAATTGGCTTTCAAGAGTGAGTTCATATATGTTTATGGTATCAAAGATCATTAAGTAGTCAAAGAAAGTCATGTTGTCTAGATTAAGAGAATTAAATACACTTAGGATATTTAAATTGATGAGATGAATGTCATTTCCCTTAAAACCTTTGAGGATGCTTTCTGAAATAGTATCCACCATGTTTGTTATTTTAACATGGACATCACATTATATGTATCTTGATTGCAACCTTAAAATACGTGAGATACCTAGAGTAGATGTGTCTCCAAACAATAGTAGGTAATGATGGTCAACGCCACAATATATAAGTCCTTAGAATTTCTTCGAATAAGGTTGAACCCTGAAGGGGCGCTTATGTTCTTTGTCAATTTCCTAATGTCGTAGTTTTAACCTGATTTTGTTTGAACATCATTGTATTCATTATGGCTTTTATAAAATATTTATTTGAAGTGTTTATATCTAAATACAGACGCTTGTTTTATGATATCTTGAGTGTGCGTTTGTGTGTGACTTCTTTAGATTTTTTTATGTTGATATAGTTTGAACGCTTATTTGGTATTTGGAGATTTTCTCTTTGCCTTACATTATGTTCCACGCTTTAAACTTGTAATAGATGGATTATTTAAAATTAAAGTTTCCAACTCTGGGACTACCTTTTTTCTGATTTGTTTGAAGTTGATTTTTTGCTATTTCTTTGTGTGTCTTCGTGTTTTTGAGATTTTTATTCTTAGTGTGTTTCCCTTTCGCACCTTCAATTGAATACTTAGTTTGAGATGGATGCTTTTTCTTGACTTATGATGTCATATCTAAGAAACAAGTCCTCAATCAAAAGAATTTGTTCCTTCCACACTCTTATGTGATAACTTACTTGGTTTAAGGTGGACGAAGAAATATTGCCTACGATGACTTATGTCTAGCCGAGAAGTGGAGCTCTGCCTATGGGGCTTTCCTCGACATTATCTTATGAGTTAGTGGGATTTGGATTGTACGTAAGAACTAGCGCTGCCCATTATGCTATAAGTGAAGTGAATTTGGCATTGTAAGTGTTTATTGATATTTTTAATAAATCAAATAACAAGTTTTAATTCACTCAAGGGATTAAGCTCGAAAAGATTCTAAAGACAATTTGTGCAGAATAGTATGACAAAAAGTGTTTGAGTTTGGAATTTAGATGTTTGGATGGAAACTATGATTGAAACAATGCAAAATTGTTTTGTAAAAAAGAAAGTAAACTAAAAGCATAATTAAGTAAATGTTTGAATTTAAAAGACTTCAAGAAAGGACGCAAGTTCATACATCTTCTCACAAACTGTTTCTCTATGTGAATTGAATACTTTAGTTCTATAGAGAATACATTAAAATTGTGACCTTTGTTACATAAACTAAACTCGACATATATATTATCACAACGTTAACTATCAATGACAATTATCTCTGCAGGAATTAACATGTGTCCCCCCTACACGGGCTTCAGTCTTCTAATTGCTTACACGCGTCTTTATCATTTGAATTGTTGCAAACCATTACCTTTGCTAGTAACTCCCTTTAACTCTCCTAACTTACTCTATTGAGAATCTCCAGTCGAATCTTACAGTGAAGTCGAAATCTTTCAAGTTCACAAGTCCTCTAGAAAAAATACACTAAGTTCCTAACATCTGATAGGTGCGTCAAACTCGAAACTTCTACACTATACCTCTATGTCAAAGTGTTGATCTGTGCAACCTTTTTCGAGATTCTGAATATGTTTTAGAGAGAGAGAGAGAGAGAGAGAGAGAGAGAGAGAGAGAGAGAGAGAGAGAGAGAGAGAGAGAGAGAGAGAGAGAGAGAGAGAGAGAGAGAGAGAGAGAGGGAGAGATTTTAATCTTATGAATCTGTTTCTAAGACTCCTCCAAACTAGGCTCAAATAGGTTTCTAGGTTATTTAAACCTTGAACTCAAAATGTCGAACTCACCCCTTTAGTCAAAGTTATCAAAATGTCGAAACTATAAATTGATCATCATGTACTTAGCTTTTTCACTCATTTCTTACTTTTTTTTTTATGTCGAGAGTGGAGATTCAAATTCTCAGACTAACAGATCCCCTCCCCGAATGCCATTTTCGATTATATGTACAAGATGGAAGAAATGTGGAATTTTTAATAACTTCTCAAAATGTTCAAGATGATTTGCCTACCATCATGACCCTTTTCACCAAATTGTCACGTAAGTGAACGTGCATGTACTTAGCCATCATGTTATGGGATTTCAAGTCAGTTTCATATTTACCAATCTTCCTTAATAAGTTTTGTGGCATTAGGTTAATTGTTGCCCTTTTATCAACTAAGACTTTATTAATTCCTACATTCTCGATCTTAGCCCATATAAAAAAGGCTTTCAAGTGTTGTTGCATTCCTAAATCCGGCCTTTCAAAAATGACCTTGTCTTCATCCACAAAATAATTATTCATAACATAGTAACTCAAAGGCCTATGGTTTACTAATTCCTCTACAAGTACATCACCCTCTTAGGTCACCAAAGTGATAGTATCATATTCAATGCGCAAGACGAAGACAACATTACAAATGCCATCAAAATCATCCTCTGATCCAGAGTCGAAGTTGTCTATTAACATCTTGTCATCTTCTTTTGGCAATGAATCATCGTCATCTGGTTTAATTATCACTGTCAAAGGAGGGGAAAAATCTCTCCTTCATGGGTTTCTTTGTCATTCTATCCTCCACCGTTATTCCATTAGTACTAGACTCTACAACCTTTATGGTCGCTTTCTTTTTCCTTTGATATATGCTTCTCTGAGTTCAAGTCATTGGATTTTTATCCAAATAATTCTTTGAACCATATGAGTATTTATTGAATATTTGGGCATTGTCATTGTATGAGGAACCTGCACCTACCTCAATTACTTTCCATTTGTGTTGGTCAACATTAGGTTTTCCCACAGGTCGAATCCATTCATCAATGAGGGTAGTAGCGGCTGGCACATAAGTATTTCTCTAGCTTTCCCAGCTGTTTGAAGATCCTTTATGTCTTAGGTAAGTAATTCATCTTTTTTTTGAAGTCCAATTGGATCCTTTATGTCTTAGGTAAGTAATTCATCTTTTTTTTTAAGTCCAATTGGAGAATTCATTCACCAATGAGGGCAGTAGATGGTGGGCACATAAGTCCAATTTGTTTACTAGTATTTAAGTAAATCAAATCACAAACTTTAATTCACTTAAGAAATCAAACTCCAAAAAATCCTAAAGATAATTTGTACAGAATAGTATGACAAAAATGTTGTGCTTGAAATTTAGATATTTGGATAAAAACTATGATCGAAACAATGCTGAATTATTTTGGAAAAAGAAAGTAAATGAAAAACATAATTAAGTAAATGAATTTAAAAGACTTAAAGAAAGGACGCGGATTCATACATCTTCTCACAAAATATTTCTCTCAGTGACTTAGATACTTTAGTTCTATAGAGAATAAATAAAAATTGTGGCCTCTGTTACATAAACTAAACTAGACGTATATACTATCACAACGTTAACCGTCGATGAGAGTTTTCTCTCGAGAAATCAACATGTGTCGTCCTACGTGGGCTCCAGTCTTTTAATTGCTTCCACGCGTCTTTAACGTTTGAATTGCTACGAACCACTACCCACACTGGTAATTGCCTTTAAATATCTTAATTGTCTCTATCGAAAATCTCCAATCGAATCTTCCAGTGGTGTCGAAATGTTTTTAGTTCATCTGTCCTCTAGAAAAAATACACTAAGTTCCTGACATCTTATCGTCGAACTCGACACTTCTACACCATACCTCTATGTCAAAGTGTTGATTCGTGCAACCCTTTTCAAGATTTTGAAGATGTTTTAAAGAGTGATCATAATCATGTGGATCTCCTCATGAGATTCCTCCAAACCAAACTCAAATAGGTTTCTAAGTTATCTAAACCTTGAAAAATGTCTAACTCACACCTTTTAGTCAAAGTTATCAAAATGTCGATACTCTAACATGATCGATCATCTTGTACTTAGTTTTTTCATTTTTTTACACTTTCATCGAGAGTTGAGATTCAAATTCTCATGCTAACAATAAGTTAATAATGTGTCTACCTAAAAATGTTAGTGGTGGTAACTATGTTAATAATATAATTTGACGTGCATTTTATACAAAGCAATCCAAAATAAGAATATTGAGATACATCTAAAAATAGCATAAACCAAAAATTTGTTTGGAATGTTACTTGTTTAAACCTTTAGTTATGGAGAAGTTAGATTTCCTTGGTACAAAATCGTGTGTAAATATCTTCTTCAATAGTATATACTAAACATGGACAACCACCCTTTTTTGTTTACTACTTTTACTATAAAAATCCGTTAATTTCGTTTACCCGTTCCTTAAAGATTGGGATATTTTAAATACTAAGCATAACAAAATGTCAAGTTTTGTCGTACTTTCCCCAGTTAAAATCCCCCATGACTCTAACATCAAAATACCATTCATTTGGACACATATCTTGAAAACGTAACATTAATAAACACCTTGATTTGTACAGCTTCATGTTCTTAGGTCCCTCAACTCTTCATATCCAGACATGGAACAAAACAGAGTAATGGTAAGCATAAATCTATATAATAAAATCAAACATATATATATATATATATATATATATATATATATATATATATATATATATATATATATATATATATATATATATATATATATATATATATATATATATATATATATATATATATATATATATATATATATATATATATATATAAAGAAAATGAAGCAACTTTATCTATCCTACATTTCTAAAAAATCACAAATGATTTTTATAATTTATCAGAAAGAAACTGTGTTTATTTTTATAGCTATGTATATCCGAAGTGATTTAGGGTTAGGAAAACTTCTTCCCAAAAAAAGTTTTGGAAGAACATCATGATCTTCAAGATTATCATGACTATTGTGTGAATCGCATTCTAAATAATCGTTTCATTCTTTTAATCAAATTCTAACCATAATTTCTCTTGATGCAGCAATGCTTGTGTGTCCAAGCTTCTCTAATCGCTAATTAAAATATGATTGTGATTTTATGATATATTGTTGTCAAATTAGTATAGATATAAACAATTTCGAATATAAAAACTCAGATATTGGAGTCTTGAACTTGTATTGGTTAATGTGCATTAGGCAGGGGGTACTAACCAATACAAGGTCAAGAAACTCAAGATTATCGTCTTAATATTTAAATTGGAAGTTTCGAATCGTGAACTTGAAATGGTTAATGTGCTTCGATTGTGAGAGAGTATTAACCATTATAAGTTGATGAAGAAGCTCCCATTTCGAGATAAACTATGTTGTTTTTTATTGCATGCAAAAGAATGAGTATCAACAAAAGTACTGATTACTATGTATGATCCTATGTATGCAGAAAAACTCTGCTAAAACATCTGTGCCTCAGTTTGGAGGGTGGGACCAAAAGGCTACCGGAGCTACCGACTATTCAATGGTGTTTACTCAAGCTCGTGCGAACAAAAAGCAGCAGAAAACCGACCTGACTGAAGTCAAGCTTGGCAGCACCGGGAATGAACGGGACCTCGCTAAAACTAATCATGGACATGCTCCTCCTGCTCAAGGTCATCATGCCCATCATGCTCGGGACCTTGCCAAAGCTAAACATGGACACACTCATCCTCCTCAAGGTAGTCGTGCTCATCCGGTTCAGGCTCAACCTGCTCATGCTCATCCGGTTCATGCTCAACCTGCTCATGCTCAACCGCATGCCCAAGTTCACACTCATTCTCAAGAAGATTCTGTAGTCATGGTGAGGCCCTTTTCTTTAGCTGCTATTTAAGTTTCATGCATATCTTTTTTGCTATTGCTTGAGATTTTATGCTGGGAGCTTCAACTTCCAAAATCTAACACTTTTTTGAGCAAAGTACTCCCCTTAGATTTGGTCCATACCCCCTTGATCAATCAATGCACATGGATCATTTACTAGGAGGAGTACTATTGTCAAAATCTATGAAGCAAGGACACCATAAACACGACACCGATACTGACATGTTGACACCAGTAATGATTTGAAAAAATAAATAAATTAAACGTTATCGCACAAGTGTCAGTGTCGGTTTTGGACACTAACACGGACACACCTTTTTTCAGAGGTGTCGTGTTACAGAGGTCAAAAAGCAACATAGGTTATAGATTAGAGAGAGCTCATAGAAGTCTATTCCGGCTTCGCAGCTCGCACATAGAGAGGAGCATGCAGAGAAATGACAATACTGAGGTATGACGAATGCAATTTCTAATACATTTGTTGAATGTTATCATGCAGGGGAAAAGAAGGATTCTGACCTACTTAAATTGCTGTATTAGGCCTTGATATGATAAAGAACCAAACGAACATATCCATGCCCTCGTACTCAAACCAAAGGCATGCATGCTATAGAACTATTAAAAGTACTATTAAAAGAACTATTTTACGATCTATGACGTAAAATATTTGTGTAGATGAGATAATTTTCAATAGAAACCTAACCATTACACATTGTACAGTATCTTATAATAGCTATGGCTCCCTTTTCCTCAACTGATTTTGATACGGTCTAAGCAATGTACATTACATTATTCGAAAACGTTGCACGAAATATATATATATATATACACATATGATGCTTACCAGTACATGAAATATACATTATTCTTGTTTATTCGATCAAACAACTGGAGTTACGTACCTTATTCCCCTTCCTAACCAACGATGACAGAAATTATGTGGCGGACTTTGCTCGCTTAACGGGGGCTTGAAGGGAATTTAGATAACTGGCATCCTTCTTGTCCAATCCATCGAACAGATAACTAAAAGGTGACATTTGTATGTATCTCCCAGTACCAGGAACAACTTTCAATTCATTATTTTCCCAAACAACTCTTCCTCCTGCTATAGTCACTTCAATTTTCCCCTGAAATAACAATTTAAAAAAAAACACTTCCAATCTTGATAGCACATAGCAAAATTTCAATTATTGAACAATATATACAAACAAACAAATGTCGAATGGAGCTATAGGTAACAGACAAGGTAATACTTAAACCAGTACCTTTCCTCTCCTTCCCTCATAGACGTTTGTATCCACTCTGGAGTGGTGTGACTTTGATGTTACCTCAAAGCTTGAATTTGGATTGAGAATTATAATATCTGCATCAGAGCCAGGAAGAATCGCTCCTTTCCTTGGATATATATTGAAGATTCTGGCACTGAAGTGATAGTAGAAATATAAATGAATAAATCATATAGTTTTTGGATTTTCATCCACACTTTTTTCAAATCAAAATAATGATTAAAAAAATGGATTCCCTAATTTTTACTTTGATTAACCAAAAATTTACCATTCGGTGCTTGTCAACCGGACATAGTCAGAGACAGATATTTGGCCAGATTCCTGTAAGATATATACGCCAATAAACACAGTTAGAAGGTTATTGTTTCCTCCATTTTACCTCAACCAGACAAGAAGACTGAAGGATATGCTGAAAATTCATTATCTTACCACCATGATATCCCATACCATGTGCATCCTTTCTTCGATACCTGCAGTTTTCAGGTTGCATTGCGTTAGTAAGAAAACATTTCAAAATCATCCAGCAATCCAGCATGTATTTAGGTTGCAGTTGTCTAAGGTTGCCGTGTGATTACCATTGACACCGTTAGGAATTTTCCGGAAGTCATCAATTCCAAAAGATTTCTGAGTGGAATTGAAGACACAGTGGTCAGTTCCTACCAGCTGCAAATTTGTAAAATGCATCCTTTGGTCAAATGAAATCTTGGCACTAACATACCCTTATTTATCGTGTCTCATCTAATTACTCTACCTACTTCTATATTAATAAGAATACTAAAGTAAATGAAACTCATTTTATCATAGAAATTGATACACTCATTGACTTTCTTAAGAAATGTGCATAACCTTAAACAGCTAATACGAGACGGAGGGAGTATGATGCATGTTATGGCTGAGCTGAGACCATCCTAACTAACTTTTCAGGTTCAAACCAATTATCTTTAAATGATTACTAAAGCTAACTCTTTTTTTTGACAAAACTAAAGCTAACTCTAATTCAATGTGAAACCTGCAAAACTCCTCTTGAGAGGGCAGCTTGTAGGGCCTTATCATGTCCTTGTTTCCTAATAGGGGGGCTCATCACATACCTAAAACATGAGAATGAAATATGGTTTATAAATTCTTAAACTGAAGACAGCAAAAGAATATAACTAAGAAAAAACAATGTAACGAGTGAAGGAACTTGCTTTGCTGCAGTCACAAAGTCAGGATGCCAAAGCCAAGAATCATCAAGGGCTAACCCAGATAGAACAGGCTCTCCTATTACTCTTTGTCCTGAAGTAAGAAAACAAACATGTCACTTACTAAAGGCCTGTTTGGATAAACAACTTAATTGCAGCTTATAGCACAAGTGCTTATCAAAATAACCGCCAAGTTATTTTTATAACAAAAAATAAAATAAATTTAAATTGTTTTTATATATGTTATAAGGTGTTTTCATTAGCTATCTTGAAGAATTTACAAAAATAAGTTCAAAAAAATTTATAAAAAATGTCATAAGCTATTTTGATTAAGTCTCTCAAGCAATGTCACAAAATTTATGGCAGTAGATAAGATCAAATAAGCCCATCCAAACAGGCCATAAAACTAAGTCATTTGGGAACAAAAGCACTTAAGGTCAAGATGGAAAAAGTAAACAAGTAGGGAAGCTCACTAAAATCAAGTTATCGGTAAAACTTAAAACGTAACATTTGAAACACATTAATCCAAACTCAGATCTCGGTAAACAAGTGATTTCTCCGTAGTCTAATATAATACAAAAGTAAAAAATGTTTAAAACATCTTTCATAATATGTAAACACAGTTTAACTACTCATTAGCATGTGAACAGTAAATGTTCAACATCTATCTTTAGATTCTTAATAATAAAGTTACAAACTTGGCATTATAGAATAATTTTTTTCTAAGTCTCTGACTATCGATTAAGCGCAGGTGATTTGACTATATGAGTGGCCCCAATTTTCTGTATGGCAAAGTAGATTCAATAAAATTGCATAGCAAAAGAGTGGAATTTTAAAGTGTTGTCAAGTTAACCTATTTATGGCTGCTATAATTCAAGTACAACAAGTCTTCTTTTTACATTTTTCTCTATAAAAAAAAAACCAGAATATTGTTGAGCAAACATATGAATTTTTCTAAAAGTGGACTCTTAACGTCATCTCTATATGTTGTAATTGTGTGCTTTCTCTAAATAATCTGGAATACATTACAAGGATTGAAGTTAAGAACCTGATTTCCTGGCTTTCGCAACTTCTTCCATTGCATCAATGCTCATGACATGAACCACATACAAAGGAGTGTTTACAAAATCTGCTAAGCGAATAGCACGAGCAGTTGCCTCTCCTTCCAACTACACGTGTAAGAGTGTGATTGTCAGAGATGTACAGGGAAGGTTGAAATATAAGGAGCGGACATCATGTATTCTATGGCGTACTAAAAAAGTATAGATGATGAAATGAAACCAGACATGGTCAGTATCTGCATTCCATTATTCTCTTGAATTCTATTATTCCGTAAATTATTTATAAAATGAACAAAAATGAGACTAACCACTGGAGGCCTTGAAAGAGCATGCCCCTCAGGTCCAGTTATTCCAAGCTCTATCATCTTCTTTTGCCCTTCATACACAGCATCACCGTTTTCTGCATGGACCATGGCTAAGGCACCGAGAGACTTGCACTTTTTAAGTCCTTCTATAAGAAGCTCATCACTGATCATAAGAGCTCCTTTGTAAGCCATGAAAAACTTAAAAGAATTGATACCTGCAATTAGAAAACAAAGATGTACACACTACCTGAAATAAATTCCTCAGAACCCTTCCACGGCCTCGTAATAAACCAAATTACCAAAAATGCAAAAAGGAAGTAAATTATAACCTTTCTCCTTGACCATGATCTCCATTTCTCTTGCAACTGTTTCATCCCATTTGGTGATAGCCATATGGAAACCATAATCCATGCAGGACTTCTTTGCCTTCTTTTCATAAGCTTCAAAACCGGTCGTTAAACTGCCATCAATTGGTATGACAAAGTCAATGTGCATTGTCGTCCCACCTGCCAATGCTGCGGCCTGGCCACTGAAGAAGTCATCCTTCGTTACAGTGTTCATAAACTCAAACTCTAGATGAGTATGAGGATCAATGCCTCCTATTTAGTAAACAAAAAAATGAAATCATATATTGTGCCAAAATCTGATGATGATGTCAAATTGACATCATGATGGAATGTAAGAAACAAACTTCACGCATACAAGTGACATCGCTACGGTGATTTGTTTCAGAAGTATTTACATGTAGACATTGAGCCTTTAGCAATTGTATTATACAATGTAGTCAAGCGCGAGATCTTAAGTAGGATCGGTTGGTTTGTGAAAGATCGTAAAACTCGGATCGTTAGCACGCCACGTAAGACCCAACCGAATGGAAAAATGGTAATTTCATATATATTTATACACACATTCACAAAACGTGAAAATTATAATTCAGGCCCAAAAAGGGGCCCAAAGCATTTTTTTTACGATCTTGCTTCAAAATACTCGATCTTGATCACACCAGCGAAGAAAACGATCTTTCTCAGATCGTAGCACACTCAGGTATCTTTGACACATTACGATCCAGCACTCAAACTTGACTATACTGATTGTATAGGTGTTAGAGCATCAACAACAATAGAATCCATCTTAGGTTGACTAAGTGGACTCCACTATGCCACATCACTTTTAATTAAGCAAATCACTCACTTTTCACACCATTGATGTAGTTCTTGAAGGACTTCAATTGGTCTGCATAAGTGGGCCATAGTGCTCCTTTGAATTTCACACAAACATTTACTATTCTTAATTATTGCTAAGAATGGATTGCTTTTATAAGAACACATTTTCACCCTAGATATAAAGTGGAGCACTCCGACGGTAAAACATCCAAGAACTAATAAGAACATAAGAAATACCAATTCAAACGCAAACACTAAACATGATATCAACCCTGACACACAGGCATCAAATTAATCTGTTGAAATGGAAGTGACTGTATGTATCCACATGTGTTAGTGTCATATAAATGTTAGACGTTGACACATGGAGATACACGGACACACCTTCAACCTAAAGTGCCAAACATAAGCAAGGTTTTAAAAAATTGCCGCGGCCGCATAGGTGTAAGTACTACATAGTTAGAAACCCACAAAGAATTGCATCATTGGAAGTGTTGTAAGATTAAAAATCAAAGGTCTAACCTGGCATAACAAACTTGCCAGTAGCATCTATGACACGCACCTCATCTCCAACCTGGCAATGGAAATTACAAAAGTAAAAAATCGTAGGACAGAAAGCATAAAGTTTCAATACAAAAATTTGCCAAAAACACTTCCTATTTTCATTTCTTAACAACTGTGTTCGTTTTAACATGATAAGAGACTCTTGGAGTAAATCAATGCTAGATAACAATAATTCAGTTTGAGAAGTAAAGAAAATATTACTTCAAGACAACATAGCATGTGTTAGGTTTGGGTTCTTCCGGTGAAAAAAATTGATTTTAAGTGAATTGATTATATAAAACTACTAAAAGTGAGTTGAAATAAAGTGATTTATGTTTGGATAAATTATTGCAAAAGTGAGTAGAACATTAAATTTCATTGCAAAAATCACGTTCAAAGTCAAAAGTTACAAATTCTAGCTTCAAATATAATCAATTATGGAAAGCAGGATCAATTATACTCGTGATCAAGCAAACATGTCAAAATCAATTCTACATGTCGGGAATCAATTCAGAGTAAGAGCTTCAATAGCGAAGCCAAAGAAATGTAAAAATAGAATACATAGGATTGAGCAAAATAAATAAAAACAAAAGGAGTATAAGAAAGAAAAATGGAAAGAATAATACAGTGATAGTTGGATTAACAGCAACAATGACGCCGTCTTCAACATAAACATCAGCGATTTGTTGATGATGAGCGTTAACAACAGTACCGCCTTTGATCAACAACTTGGACGACGACGACGACGGAATTGAACCTCCACACGAAGACTCTCCATATCCGATTCCAGCTTCACAAAACTGAATTTCAGAATCCAAATTAAAAATGAATACACATGATAAGAACAAGAAGAAGAAAAGTCAACTAAAGAAGAAGAGAAGAAGAACCTGGTTAGGTTGTGATTGTGAATGTGCAAGCAAAGATGGAGCCGTGGTGATGATAAGGGAGAAGATGAAAATGAAAGCCATGATTGCTAAAACTGTTCCCGCTTACTGCTTTAACGCTTTTTATATCTCTTGTTTCTTTGTTTTCATTTTCAAACCAATCACTCTCACTCTGCTCCTTGCTTCAACAATCATTATATTAATTAACTCATCCAAATCTGCTAAATTAATTCCGTTTATTTTCATTTTATCACTACAAATCAATCATTCAAATCTGAAATCTAACTTATTAAGTTTTTTTTTTAATATATAAATAATAAATAATTTAAATACATTTTAGCCTTCTATTTTTATTATAAAATTTTTTTTATTATTTTTTGATACAAAAATAAAAACCTCATTTTCAGCTTCGATAATATAAGTATATGCTATATGTACTGTACAGTATCTTATTCATGTTATTTTCCCATTTCCTTTTATTGCTTTCAACACAAATCTAAGCAATGTTTATTTTCATTACATGAATGGAAAAAGTATCACAAAACACATTTATTCATTCATTCTAATATACCATTGAAGCTTTCTGCTACATATTAAATTTTCAGAATTTTTCAAGTGGTAGATTTGGCTCTCTTCACTGGAGCTTGAAGGGAATTTAGATAAATAACATCTTTTTTGTCCAATCCATCAAACAGATAACTAAAAGGATCCATTTGTATGTATTTTCCAGCACCAGGAACAACCTTCAGTTCATTATTTTCCCAAACAACTCTTCCTCCTGCTATAGTCACTTCAATTTTCCCCTGAAAATAACATTTTGAATCATTAACCAATATACAAAGAATCGCGCATTGAATGTCCGCGTAGACACAAACTTGGCATCTGACCAACAACACATGCCATCATATTCAATTACTATCATTTTCTCAAACTATACTACTGTCTGACACGCCGCTGTTGTGTCTGGCGTCAGCGTCAGTGTCTGTGTGAGTAATACTAATGAGTTTCAATCCAAACATTTAGTTAAAACCAGCACCTTTCCTTTTCTTCCCTCATACACATTTGTATCACTTCTGGAGTGGTGAGATTTTGCAGTTATCACAAAACTCGAGTTCGGATTCAGGATGATAATATCTGCATCAGAACCGGGAAGAATAGCTCCCTTCCTTGGATATATATTGAAGATTCTAGCACTAAAATGATTGTCATTAATATTTTTGGCAACTTTACCATACAGAATCATCAAATTAATGATAAGAGTAACATACCATTCAGTGCTCGTCACTCGGACGTAGTCGGTGACCGATATTTGGCCAGATTCCTGAGAGAGAGATACGTAACAATAAAGTCTAGTTAAATGGCTATCCTATCCTTTTTCAACCAAACTATCAAGGAAGGAAAAGGTGATTCTTATCATACCACCATGGTGTCCCATACCAAGTGCATTCTTTCTTCAATACCTATAGGTTCGCAAATTTTTTATGCATATTAATAGTAAAACATTTCAAAATCAACCATGATGTAGTTAGGCCACATATATCCAAAACTATTGAGTGATTACCATTGACACCGTTTGGAATTTGGCGGAAGTCGTCGATTCCAAGAGCTTTCTGGGTGGAATTCCAGGCACAATGATCAGTTCCTACCAGCTGCAAAAGACCCGTTGCAAGGGCGGCTCGAAGGGCCTTATCGTGTCCCTTACTCCTAATAGGAGGACTCATGACATACCTGTTAGATGAGATTCAACGCGGCTTACATTCTTAAAACTTAAGACAAAGAATAACAACTACAATACGAAAAGAAAAAAAAGAAGCGGAGAACTTGCTTTGCCGCAGTCTTAAAGTCAGGATGCCAAAGCCAAGAATCGTCGAGGGCTAAACCAGAGACAATAGGCTCTCCTATTACCCTTTGTCCTACAATTCGAAATCAACAGGTGAATTGTATACTTTTTAATGAATGCATTATTGTTGTGGAGCACGTTGGTAAAAAAAACGGAGAACAAGACTAAAAGAATTAAAATTAAGAAACTGATGTCCCGTTAAGTCAGCTCAGTTGATAGTTGTACAGAGACATTCGACTACAGGGGTGCACGTTTGAACCCGCGATATCTCATTTATTCACATTTAAGAGGTGAAATTCTAACAACTAAGCTACTAGACCAAAAAAAAAAATAAGAACCTGATTTCCGAGCCTTTGCAATTTCTTCCATTGCATCTATGCTCATGACATGAACCACATATAAAGGAGTGTTCACGAAATTTGCCAAGCGAATAGCGCGAGAAGTTGCCTCTCCTTCCAACTACATAGGTATCCGAAACATTCTATAAGTCCAATATAAATAGATATTGTTCATCAAAATCGAAAGAAAAAAGAGAATTTACCAATGCAGGCCTTGAAAGAGGGTGGCCTTCAGGACCGGTTATTCCAAACTCGATCATTTTCTGTTGTCCAGCATGCACTGCATCTCCATTTTCTGCATGAACCATGGCTAAGGCACCAAGGGACTTACACTTCTTAAATCCTTGAAGAAGAAGCTCGTCATTGACCATAACAATTCCCTTGTATGCCATGAAAAACTTGAAAGAGTTGATACCTGATATTACCAAAAACATAGACGAATTATCTGAAATCAATCCCTCGATTGAAACTTGCCTAAAGGGTTATTACTGATTGTTAGAACAGCACTGACCTTTCTCCTTGACCAAGATCTCCATATCCCTTGAAACGTCTTCGTCCCATTTGGTAATTGCGACATGGAAACCATAATCCATGCAAGACTTCTTAGCTTTATTTTCATAGGCTTCAAAACCAGCAGTTAAATTTCCATCTATTGGCATAATGAAGTCAATATGCATTGTTGTTCCACCAGCTAATGCTGCAGCCTGACCACTGAAGAAGTCATCTACTGTTTCAATGCCCATAGAGCCTATCTCATTCTGTAGGTGTGTGTGAGGATCAATGCCTCCTATGATCAGTTCAAAAACAACAAGCATTCACAAAGTTTGTCCCATAAAAGAAGATAATAATAACAGTAAATAGCAAATTATTGTATAGAGGTTTTAGATTAAAACTTTTGACGGCCTAACCTGGCATCACAAACTTGCCAGTGGCATCTATCACATACACATCATCTTCAACCTTATAATACAAATATAAAAATGAGTAAAGACATAATATTACATTGCCAGGAGCATTAAAGGACTAAACATTCAGGATCCAGAGACCTTAACAACACGAATCTACCCAAAACCTTAAGACATCAAATATATGGATACTGTCTATTATATAATCAAACTAGCCGCCGATGTGAGACTTAATTACTCAGACTTGAATTTCAATACTTACACCGTCTAAGATTTTTCTTTTTCTGTACATATTTTTCTGAGTACTAGAATTTGACATTTTGACTAGCAGAAAATAAGATTAAATTAAATTATGGAAGTACCAGTACCACAATATTTGGCTGTACATTAACAATGATTCCATTTTCTACATAAACATCAGCAACTTGTTGGTGATGAGCATTGACAACAGTACCACCTTTGATTAACAACTTGTTGGAAGATGATGGGATTGAAGCTCCACATGAAGATTCTCCATATGCAATTCCACCTTCACAAAACTGAATTACAGAATCAAAATTAAAACATGAGTTCAGTTATGTAATGAAAAAAAAAAACTAAGTAACTATTAAACTGAAAGTCAACACAAGAAGAGAAGGAGATATGAGTGACCTGGTTGTTAGATTGTTGTGACAGTGAAATGATAAGAAAGAAGGAAAGATAGAACAAGATATGAACAAGTTGAAAACTGAAGTTCATCATCATCACTACACAGCAACCTGTTTCTATATTTCGAGATTTTAAAAGCAATCGATCAAAGTTTATCTCCTATGTTAGATAAACTTATTAAACTAAAATATTCTAGAGCTGTTACTAGGCTTAATAAACAAAACATACATTTTTAAATTTTTCCTTTTTAATATTAGTCATCTACATTCCTTTTAAATGTCTTGTTGTCCTTTTAACAACATGTTTAATTTTTTTTAAAAGAAAATTGTATTTGTTAACAATAATGAAATTCTGGTTTTTATTGATTTGGATTAAGGATGTCCAAGATTATAAAAGTCGCCATAACAACTATCAAACTTAACAACTTAGGAGATAACTTGCAATGTAAGAACTACTTCAGAAACAAGTTTCACATTTAGAACATTAACAATTGATTTTGAATTTTTAGAATTGATTTTGACATGTTTTGTTGCTCTAGAGAAAAATTGAATATGATTTATATAATCAATTTTATTTGAAGTTAGGATTTAAAAGTATAAAAGGGAGGGGGGAAATATGTTCATGTGGTAATTGTGAGAAACTCTATGTATTTCTTTTGACCTTTGAGCCAGAAGTGGTTTCTCTCACTTCCTCATCATGAACGTAAGAGTAATAGAAGACCATTTCTTCCTCAAATTATGGGGGAGACAATTTATCTCTTTTGACCGATACTTATAGACTGTTGCTACTTCAACATCTCATGAGCCACATGTATCAATCGAAATAAATTCTAGATACTAGTTCAGACGACTAAGCCCATTTCGAGCACTCAGACCCATACACAAGGATTTGTTTAGGCAGTTCCCCAATCGGCCTCGCTATGGGTACGTCTGCCCCTAATTTCATTCGGAATTGAGATAATAAATATTAAACTTTGGAAAATGTGATTACGAGAGAACAAGTAGCAATCCAACAAGCAAAACCCTAAGTATGTTGTTGATCCTATCTTCTTCTCTCCCCTTAATCAGAGCACGATTAAGTGAACCTGATACTTTCAATTTGATCATTTGTCTCACACTACTCCTTTGCAAGAATCCTCATTCTTCAAAGATTTCACTCGGCTGAATCCAAATTGCAAACGTACCATGACCCAAGATTTACCAATTTGATCCTTCGTCTCACGCTACTCCTTCAACCAAACCCATTGTTCTTCGAAGCTTTCACTCGGCTGAATTCAAATTGTGTAATCTTGTCCAAAACCTTCAAATCACAAATTGACCTTGAAGGAAAACTCCAACTTGGTTTTCTTATTTG